GGAGAGGAGGAGGAGGAGGAGGGGGAGCAGCTCAACATTACCTCAGGCTCTGAGACATAAAAAACTTAAAAGCTGCTGAGTTTTTGATTTAAAATCTGTGAAATTTTTGTCTGTATTCATGATGCAAATGAGGACATTTTATGTAATTTACAGACAATCAGTACAATGTGACAACATTAGTGTGTTGAAAGTGAACTTATTTTAGGATTTACACAACACGATCTTAGGATTTAAGATTTTTATCTTGCCATTTCTCCGACAATATTCTTGAACATGAAATCCGAGGCAGCAATTGGTTCATGCCGGTGTTTTTCCTAATGATGTCATCCAAGATCAGCTTTGCGACACAGCCAGGTGTCGCAAATCAGCTCTAAGACTGACACTTAAGAATTACTCCTACACTTCGTTTAAAGTGAGACTGAGACGCTTGATAACTGACTTTTTACTCTCAGCTTTTAATGAAGATTTTTTTACACTGAAGTCCACTCTTAGCAGCATTCTTAAGAGTAATTCTAAGAAGTTTTATAAATACGGGCCCTGATCATTAGATGTCAAGAAATAGTTAGAAACCTAGGCATGTGGATTGATCCTGTGCTTTCTTTTGACTTCCACTTAAAAGCAGTAACTGGGACCGCCTTTTACCATCTTAGGAACATTGCCAAAATGTGGCACATTCTTCCTTTTGATGATGCTGAGGTCCTTATCCATGCTTTTGTGACCTCACACATTGACTATTGCAACTCTCTCCTTTCTGGATTACCCAGGAAAAGTTTTAGATGTCTGCAGATGGTCCAGAATGCAGCTGCCTGTATTTTAAATCATTCTAAGAAATATGACCACATCACCCCCATACTGTTATTTCTTCACTGATTGCCCTGTCAGGTTCGAGCTGATTTTAAGGTTTTGTTGCTCACCTATAAGGCCTTAAGTGGCCTGGAGCCTTCATATCTCTACAACCTATTACACTCTTATGTTCCATCACGCTCTCTCAGATCAGATGGTACTGGCCTATTAATAATTCCWAAAGCTAGAAGAAAGACCATCAGTGAAGTGCTTTCTCTTTTCGTGTCCCCTCTCTGTGGAACAATCTCCCTCAGGACATCAGGCAGGCTTGTTCTGTAGAGGTTTTTAAAGCAAAGTTAAAGATGCACCTGCTCAAATTATCTTGTCTTAATTTTATCTTTTAATTGTTTTGATCGGTTCTGTGATATTATCTCTTGCCTTCTGTGTTTTTATTTTTGCTTTTTGTTGTGATTTTATACTTTGAAGGATATCAGGACGATTTTATCCTTGCTTTTCTTGAAATCACCTCGTCATTTGTGGTTTTATCTCCTGTCCAGCGCTTTTTTTGAAGGCGCTTTATAAATAAAGTTATTATTATTATTATTATTATTATTATTATTATTATTATTATTATTATTATTATGACAGAGTCTCACGACAGCAAAAGCTCACACCAGACACAAATGGCATTGCCAAAAATGCTAAAGGTCACATCTAGTGTGAAGTACAAATTAGAAAGGAAGGAAAACATAAAATAAAATAAAACAAAACAAAAAATAAATAAAAAAGACCTTACACCTGATATCACTATTGCAAGATTTTCCAATATTGTGCAGCCCTATACTGATCCCTTTAGCAAAACTACTGGATAAGCTAATTATACAGTGGTAGGTTTACTGGCTCATTATAATCTGCTGCTTAAGGCAAAAGGGAAATCATGTATTTATCCATGTCTATGTTCAGTTGTTAGTAAAATATTTGTTTGTTAGCAAAATATTTCATGCACTGGGTGGATTTTAACAAAGCTGCTAATAAGAAAATCACTGAATCTACAGCTGATGAAGTTTTAGAGTCAAGACAAAAATGGCTATAACCCAGTCAATTATTAATGTAAATAGTGAGCTACACCTTAAGTGCAGTACGTAGCGTAGATGCGAACAAAAAACAAACAAACAAACAAACAAACAAACAACAACAACAACAACAAAAACAAAAAGAGTGTGTGGGAGGGTGGGCGGCAGAGATTTAACAAACATTGCTCTGGATCTAACAAAAAAACACAGCTTTCAAATGAAACAAACCAGATAGGGCTACTAGCCAATCAGAAATAGGGTGGGGGTAGGACTTGCAACTCTGAAAAACTTTGTTTCAGATCCAGCAGAAGTTTAAGGGGTGCTCAAAATAAAAGAATTTATTTGTCTGAAGATTAATAAAATGAACACAAGTCAAATCTGGCAGATTTTTAAAACCAGCTGTTAGAGAAGATGAACCTGCAGAAGGTAGTTTACTGATCCCCTCACCTGACAGGAGGACTAGCTGGACATGCAGGTACTAAAGTTAGCTGGAAAGTAGCAGACACGTGGAGCAGGCAAGGAGAATAGAGTCTGATGACTTTATAACAGACCTGGCTCCAAAACTGACCAACAGGTGAGTGCATGTCTGCTGGGAGAAAATGGGAAAGGTGTTGTCTAAAAGTTGGATTAGCCGCCATGGGAGCACACAACCTACTGTATCTCTATAATATGCTGTATTTTTTATTTTTTATTTTTTGCTTTAGTTTTTGGAAATAAAACAAAGTTAACACTAAAAATTGTATATTTGTTTGAACAAAGCTTTTAGGCTTTTCCACTATTAGCCTTGGATGTGGTAGTAGTCGACACTCATACTCAACAAATACAACAAGAGGAGTATCGCATGARATTGTTCTGAATGTCTAAAAATCTAGGGCTGCAACAACGAGTCAATAAAATTGATAATCGATTATTAAAAGTGTTGGCAATGAATTTCATTATCGATTCGTTGTGTCGTGCGATTTATGCGTCCCTCGCCATGCCGCAGAGCCATTTACGTCATCCGCAGAGCGAATGCTGGCTGACCTAAATAAAGTTTAGGAAGAAAAAGACTCTCACTACCTGTAATGATCCACCCTCTCTGAGACCCCCGAGTGAAAAGTAGAGACTTCGAACTTTAAACCAGTTTTTAAATTGTGTTGTTAGGCCAAATAGATCTGAAGTTATGATGGAAAGTATATGCCACATTTAAATTTTTTAAATGACGGTCTGATCTGATGCAAGCCGCATTGCGACAAGGAACCACGTCCTATAGGGAAAAAAATAAAAAATCCTCAGTCCACCATTTAACTCCTCCTCTCGGGCCAGAAATATAAAACCCTCCACTCTTTTTTTCTGACGAGAGCAGAACTCCGGGTCTGATTCAGAGGGGGGAGGGATGGGGGGAGGATGGGG